AAAAACGTCGTTTTTTATTTTTCCTGTTAATATTGTACCACAATATGCCTGAAAATTATGTATTACAATTCTTGACTCTTAAGTTCAAGTGTTTATGCGTGCCAGTGAAATGTATTTCTACTACTGTAAAAAAATGTATCACACTCCGTGAGTTTCTGTTCAACAGTTCTGCAAATTTCGATTGGTGTAAATACCTTTGTAAAATTTATCTCGCTTTTTAATACTCAATCTTTGTCATTTCAAGGTGTAAGTTATATTTAAAACCACATTGATTATTTTAAAAAATCAAATATATAAGAGACTTGTATCAATTATTGAAAAATTTGAGGTTAAAGTTACTTATTTTTTAAGATGTACAGTTTATGGGCTCAGCGGTAGGTTTGAGGGCTTATAACGCTAAAAATCGGATTTCGATACCTGCAGTAGGCAGAGAGCAGAATTGATAGTGTACGTTTGTGCTTCTGTTGAAGTGAAACTGTCATTATAAACCAAGAATGCAAATTGATAATATAATAATTATCATAGGTATTGTTTTAGACCACGCATGGCTTATGTGTTGGTCCTTCGTTGCTTATCAACAATGTTAAAGTGTTCGTTTTCAAATTGATTTATAAGAGGCTCTAAAAACTTCATGTCTTAGAGAAAAAATTGTTTGTTTTCGGATACTTGCGCAAAGCTACACAAGGGCTACCTGGACTAGCCGTCTCTAATTTTGAGCTGATAGACCAGAGGAAAGATAGTGAACTGCACTGATCGCTAACTCTTAGGTTACTTTTGTCTCATTGAAAAGTGGGATTTGACTTTCACCCTTATAACGCATCTACGACACCAAAAGTGCATATTTTAATGTGAAACTAAAAAACCATTTACATTGAGCAGGATGTGTCCGACCACCATTTTATTTTTGTTACCATCAACTGACATATACCATTATTTCTGAAATTTGGAAGAAACGTTTCACGGGTAAACGTTAATATCTTACTATTCCTTCATTCTTGAATTTTTACATAACTCGTGTAGGTTTCACTCGTGTATGTCTCTTTGCAACTACAGTATTTTCAAACTACTTAAATGAAATAAAAAACTGAGGTAACTGTAATTAAGTTTAGGGCTCGAACCTGTTCTTACGAACACCTAAATTTTTGTTAGAGTTATAAAACCAGAATATTTTATAAAATCGGATACAAGAATTATTAAACAAACGCCAGTGAAGAGGAACATAATCTATTGGCTCCCTCCATCCACCCCCTACCCCCTCCATGAAATGCATAGAACATGACTGTGTCTGGCCTACTTACGGCACTTTTTTCGTCAGAAATCTAAAATTGTGCCTAAACAGCAACAACTTGTGATTCCCTTTATGGTGAAGCCTAACTTTCGGAAGCGTTGGCTAGGTATATCTGAATGAGTCAGAGCACGGGTTCCATTTCCTTCACTTTAACTTTCGACTCGAAAGGCTAACACACACATTAAAACCCAACTGTTCGGGCAAGCCTGGTGGTAGATAATTTTATAGGAAAACTAAGTGTCAGTTTATTATTACTATTAACATTACCACTGTTTTTCTACTTAAATCTTGAGGTAAAAAACCCAGTTTGACTCTAGTCTCTATCAACAGATTTAACCCTGTAGAATTTAAAAGTTGAGTTTTTTATTAATTCAATAATTGTGTAGTAACTTGTCAAAGGGGAGTTACTTCAAGATTTAATCTAAACCAAAGTTTGAGTAAAACGTACACTTAGAGAAAAACAGGGGTAATGTTTTCGAGATAAACCAGTTATATGAAGAGAAACTTTTATCATTTCAGGCCTGATTGTCGACAGACTTTACTTCTTTTAGTTTGTGTGAATCGAAAACAAGGTAAGACTAAGCCTATTTCTATTTTGAGCTATCTAGCTATGAAAGCGAGGAAATAGAAAATAACGTTCCGTGTAATAATTAAACTGTAAGTTGTAATAATAAGGATGTAAGATTTTAAGTTGAATTATTGATAAAAGGCATAGTTCGGGAACGTCTAGGAGTCAAGTCTTTATTGATGTGTAACTTGTATTTTAAATGAATAATGTTGTTGCTCGGATTGAAAAGAACTGGCCTAGTGAAGTTTGTGTTAAATACGTAAGGTGACATTTTGTACTGCATTAATATGTTTCGGAAATACCCCGCAGCTTATAAATGGTTTTACGTAATACCGATATATACGCTATGTTGATAGTGGTACTACAATATATCTTATTACCAGTTCAGGCGTAATGTATAGATAGACACACACACACACATATATATATGTATGTTGTTAATTGTAACTTTTGTTAATGTGTTCAAGATGTGTTGAATACAATACTTAGAAAGCAACTTGCTTATATATATATATAAAACACTAACAGGGGTTTTCCTAGTGTGCAGTTGACCATAAATTGTACACCTGTAAAAATATTTTTACAGTTGAAAATTCACCTACATAAGTAAGTTCAAGTGGGTAAATATTAAAAACAAACATATTTAAGATTATAAAATTCCATTCCAGGGTTGATAAATAAATGTATTTACTAGAATATTCTTAATTTTTTGGATCATTTGTTATTATGCCTATATGTATGAGGTGCAATAAGGCGTCATGTATTAAAAAAATGATGAAATTAAACATAATTGTACAGTTGAAAAAAATCCTTAGGAAAATCTCTGATATATATATATATATTTATCATCTAACAGAGCGTTCCTCATGCCTGCATTATACCCACGGGGCTATCCAGTGGCGCTGAAATATTCATACAGGGAATGGTACCCAACATCCCCGTTAGGTAAGCCCATTCTATTGTTCTTTTATTTTCAAAATATTATGTATGATCAGTCGGATAATCAAAAGAATGAAATAGATTAAGAAGAATTCTAATAACTTAAGAAACGTGACTGTGAAAACAACAACAACTTAAATACTGATTTTGTGTGTAAGTTTCAACTTATTAAATTGTTTTTCAAATATAGGAAAAATCCTAATTATCGTATTCAAGAGATTTTTCACAATTTTTCCTCTAAAATTTACAAATTTAACATATCTGCAAATAGTGAATGTTGAACAACTTGTGAGTATAACAATAAATACCGTTTAAGTTCAGTCTGTTTGTTCGTCTGAACGACACCTTATTCGCACAATGGGCTAATAAAAGACCATATCAGAGACCTCTATAGTTCAAACATAGTTGTCATTAATTTGGAACTGTGGATAGGAAGGAAGGCAATCATTCGATAGTATTCGCCGCCTGAAGTGGCTATTTTTTTTTTTACACTTAATAGGGGAATTGACTGTCGTTCTTATAACGCACCCACAGTTCAAAGTGCAAAGCGTGTTTGGTAGCACCTTATTTCAAACTCAATATCTTCGGATCCATAGACTCGTACGTTAGCCACTAGACCATATAAATACAGATAGCCGTGAACATGTGCTATTTCATTTGCATATACCTCAGCGTATGAGTGCTTTTCATAATTTTTTCCTCGTGATATTAAGCACTATAGAAGTCTTTAATGTATTTCCCAGTCGTAATTCAGTTCCATATAAGATGACCATATAATTTTCTGTCTATGAATTATACTGAAAACAATTAATGTTTTGTGGTAGCCAGATTTTCAGACTTCTAGACGCTTGCCCCCCAGTGGCACAGCGGTATGTCTGGACTTACAACGCCAGAAACCGGGTTTCGATACCCATGGTGGGCAGAGCACAGATAGCCCATTGCGTAGCTTTGTGCTTAATTCCAAACAAACAAACAAAATCTAGACACCTTACGTTTTAATCGCGTTTAGATTAGACAAAATTGTTTCATGTATATTTGACATTTTGATGGATTTGGCAAAAAAAGTGCGTTTTACATTTTCTCCAAGTTCACTCAAGATCCTTTATCATCATAGTCATGTAATTATGCTCTTGATATAAAACAAAATCCTATTTGCATTTTATAATAATTATCTTTAATCATATGGGTTGTAATATGAAATATTATAAACTTAAGTTTATTAGTTTGTTGCACAATGGACTATTTGTGTTCTGCCAATCGCATACTGACTTACGGGGAGGGGTTTTAAGAAATTAAATGTGTTCAATTCGTAAATTACATGAATTTTATGCTTGCACTCGACGATGAGGTACAGTTTGCATGTGCTGTCGCTAGGCGTCGCTTTGTTAAGGAATGCAGTGGTTTTGACGAAACACCTAACAAATAACTTAATTATCAAGATATTTAAAAGTTCAACAGGTTCCTATCTTATTGTATAATTGCACATAATCTTCCTTTTATCAGCTTGAATCTTTCGTGGATCAAGTTTTTTTTTCCTTGTTGCTGTACACAAAATATTGATATAAAGGAACTTAAAACACAACAAAAAAATATTATACCAGGTCAGGTGACAGTTCCGTACGAAGTTCCTTCGAGGGAAATAACAGCTCCTGAGGATGATGTTCCCATCTTTCATGGCAGACTGCCAGAGAAGAAACTCCTCTCCCTGACCTTGTCCCTAGTGGTTTTAGGTTCCTCACGAGCGCGTGCTTGCCTCATAGCTGGAAAGTAAAGCTAAACCTCAGTTCATTCGCCGCAGTCTCTTTTTGGCAAATACCATTTTGGCTTAATATTATTATTATTTACAATTATGTATGGCGGCAAACATAAACCACATAATCATCTTGTACTGTTTATTATGCTGTTTGATTTGACTGTAAAAACAACAACAAATGTTATCGTGAATGTTTGCAATTTTCCGTTAATTAATTCGCGTAATAGTAAGAATAACTATAGTCACCTTTTATCTAACTGCATTACGAATTATAAAATAACTTTTTTTGGGGGGGGGGGGTATAACCACTGCCGCCTGGAGTTTCGTGGTTTAAACTGTAAGTCTATCGCATTCGTGTATTTGATTATTTCTTTGTTCTAGAGCGAAGCCAGATTGGTCTATTTGCTGTGTCCACTGCAAAGAAACGAACTCCGGATTTTAATGTTGTAAGTCCGTAAATTTACCACTGTCCCACCGGAGGGCCGCTTATCTGAATAAAATGCAGAAAGGATAAAGTAAATCAACTATATAAACAGTTCCCAAGTAAAATCTCTGTTTTCCTCAGGAATTGAAATTAGAGGGGGCTGTTCAAATTTTCTGGTGGGTGACGGCCGAGGGGTAAGACCATAGTTTCACGACCATTGTATCAGGTAAATAACTTCCGTAATTAAATATTTCATTTCCCCGTTAGAAAACTATTATTGAATATCCTTTCCTTATATTTTATTATCAGTAATTTACAGGAGCATAATGCATTTTCCCAACGAATTCCATTTGGTGAAAATTTCAAACTAATCAAGTATATATATCCTCATCGTTTTAAGCAGCCGCACTTTATCGATCAGTACTGTATCCAAGTGTTACGTCTCTGTTCGTTTGTTAATTTCCGGTATAAATTCTTTCCGAGGAACTTCAGCAATACAAGTCCTTTCTTAATTAAAACTAGTTTATTCTTTCTCGATACAACTTTGTAATACACAGAATTTCTACAGTCACTTTAAACTTATCAATCTTTATAACACACATTATAAATCACAGTGATTCACACACTTTACTTACGGTGCCTACTGTTCGCTTGACTCAATTATCTCTATCTGCATATCTATGCAATTCTATCTCCTTCGCTGGCTTTATTTGCCGGGCTTATAAACTAAAAAAGAGGGCTCCTGGAACAAACTAGAGTTGCCAGGAAAATTCATGATCCTTCGAAAAACTCCAGCGCGCATGCTCCCAACGTTGCATGACTTCCGCTGTCGTAACACAAAGTTATCCTAAGCAAAGGCGGGGGTACAAATCAGATGGGCAAATCTGTCTCGCATCGGAGCATGCAAGCGCTATTGATGTGTGATGAAGTAGAGACGTCAGAGGGCGTACTAAAATAAATGTAGCCAAAAAAAAAATAAATGGGAAAAAGTCATCATCTATAGATAGTGAAAAGTTAAAAATCGATACCACTATTTCAGAATTTACTGATGGGAGGGATCTCCAAGCAACCAGGACTTCCCACCCCACAGGGATACACTATTGACAGTTATTTGTATTTTTGTGAAAGATATAATATCATCACGTATTAGAATTTGTGAATACCTACAAAAATGGTATCACAAAAACATGCAAATTCCATATGTATATTTGTATAGGTATCTCTTCGTTTATCCCAAATTGTTTGTTTTTTAACTTGGACGATCTCTATTCACTTTGTTTCTTCTATTTTAATAACATCTAATTGGTCATAACATGATACAGGGTGGTCTGAACGTTAGTTGCTAACATTGAACTTCCTTTGTTTCTTCTATTTTAATAACATCTTATTGGTAATAACATGATACAGGGTGGTCTGAACGTTAGTTGGTAACATTGAACTTCCTTTGTTTCTTCTATTTTAATAACATCTAATTAGTCACAAAATGATACAGGGTGGTTTGAACGTTAGTTGCTAACAATGAACTTCCTTTGTTTCTTCTATTTTAATAACATCTAATTGGTCATAACATGATACAAGGTGGTTTGAACGTTAGTTGCTAACATTGAACTTCCTTTGTTTCTTCTATTTTAATAACATCTTATTAGTCATAACATGATACAGGGTGGTCTGAACGTTAGTTGCTAACATTGAACTTCCTTTGTTTCTTCTATGTTAATAACATCTAATTGGTCATAACATGATACAAGGTGGTTTGAACGTTAGTTGCTAATATTGAACTTCCTTCTGTGTGAATAAAATTTTATTTGCGCTACAGAAGATCGATGTTTCGTTACCTTGCTAGTTTGTGTCATACCTACATGCTGCGAACATACACTTCTACATTAATCTCAAACACAAAAAAAAAAGGAAAAAGGTTTGGTATATTTCTCCGTGGCAACTCTCTTTCGCGCTGCAACGTATTTTTATTTACCGGAGAAGCCTGTCAGTAAACCATCCTAAAAACTTTCTGTTTTCTAGATATTTTCCTTGTGTAGTGATAGGTCAAAACCAATGTTCCTAGTACGTTACTATTTGATTAGATACCACAAAATTTGGATATTGTTTTTCTAGCTTTTCGATCGGCCTACAGTGGGTCACTGATCCCAAAGCTGCGAACATCCTATTACACTTACAAGACGCCGTCACTGTGGTACGGAACTCACGTGCCGATAAGTGGGATAAGAAGGAGAGAGATGTCGATACCAATTTCTGTCCCACTCCGCCTTTCTTGGTGGTCATCAGTGCCTTCTCGGTCGGAGCTGAGGTAAAAATATTCTTAAAATAATTAGGCTTAGCTTAAGAATTCATTGGGTTTCCTGTTATAGTATGGAGTTTTAGATTTTGTCTGTTTTAAAAAAACAAACTATATTGCGTTATTAGAATTTGTACAGAGGTTTATTTACGGAATATGGAATACGTGTAAATTAGCTAACGTCACTGTGCAAATGTAGAGATGGTTCAAGAAATATGGTCACGTAAAAGGCAAGTATCCTGCTTGTAAAATTAAATCATATTGATAGAGTTTGTTAAAATGTCTCTAAAATGTGGTCGGTAGCCAAAGGGGTGTGTGATCGCTCCTTCTACAGAGAAGTACTTATACAGCGAGATTGTTAAACGAGCTAAAGCCAAAGGACGCAGCATTTTCAAGAAGGATTTCTCTATCATTCTACATGGAAGTGGTAAAACTCACCCAGCAGACCGTTTTGAACAACTACGAGCCCTAAAAGCACGTTCGAAACCAATTAGAATCATCTACAAAATGAAGGTTGTGGCTATGAGAGAGAACCTTCCGACCCCAAAAAAAATCATTGCAATGAAGCTGGTCATGTTTGCTGGTACTGCTAATAAGATAATATACAAAGACTTGTAAGCGTGTGACCACACCCCGAAAGCCGTTTTCATTAAAGCTGGTCATGTTTGCAGATACTGCTAATAAGATAATATACAAAGACTTGTAAGCGTGTGACCACACCCCGAAAGCCGTTTTCATTAAAGCTGGTCATGTTTGCAGATACTGCTAATAAGATAATATACAAAGACTTGTAAGCGTGTGACCACACCCCGAAAGCCGTTTTCATTAAGAAAGATGATAAAAGAAACTGAAAAATAGCAGTTCAATTCAACTACTAACTTGTCATGTCCTCCGATACAGCACAAATAGTGTGCAGTGTATACAGACTTTTATACCCAGTTCTTCACACTAGTCCTCCGATACAGCACAAATAGTGTGCAGTGTATACAGACTTTTATACCCAGTTCTTCACACTAGTCCTCCGATACAGCAC